TGGCTGTGTGTATTGTGAATTGTATCATACATGGCAGGTGTATACCTCCACCCCTGGTACTCAGAATAAAAGAAAGCACATAAGAAAAGTAATGTGTTACAAATCTGTAATCAAATTGCTTGTGTGTTAGTTTTAATTTTTTTTCTTCTTTTATTTTTGTTTCATTATATTTGATGGTAGTGATAATTTTTATTGAATTTGAATCTCTTTTCAGAAAATTCACTTAACCTAATAAGAACCTAACAGTTACTTTATTGTTAAATTTAGCCAACCTTGGTTTGCAAATTCATAAACATTAAGTGAAAATGATTGGCTATTCTCGAGGTCATGTCCGGCCCATTTATTGCCCATACTGTAAATAGTTTTTTTAATTATTCATTTCTTGCATGAGAATCTGATTTTTTTTTATATGGGGCTATTCTAATCTATGTAACAAATGGTACTTTTTTATTGTGATGGTCAAGTTAGAAATCACATAGCCTGTCATGTGAACTACCATGTGATCTAAAATTGAGGCTTGGGAATTGGTATTATATTTATTCAGTCGTAAAATAATACCTGTAGGAGCTCAGATATATTTTGTGTTGTTGTCATTTCAGTTATTAGTTATTTAAGAATAATTTATATTCTCTGGAAAATAAGTGCTTCTTCATCAGTCTTGGACAAAAATAATCAGTGGAAATTTTTTGGAATTTTAAAGCCGGAATATTATTCTTGATTCAAAAAATTCAACAAGGAACTGTTGCCAATAGTAAAATGACCTCATCTTATGTCAACATCTTCCATATTAGAACTTCATTGAGATTTGGGTCTGGATTCAATTGGAACTGTTTTGTGATAGGACTTATATTTTTCAATTCTAGGATTAATTTTTGGATTATTTTCACTAACCATAAGCCCCATTTCATATTTTTACTGTGTTTTCAAGGGAAAAAATTATTTTTGTTAAAATTTACAAAGCTTGTTGATTTCACTCTTTTGTTTTGTTACATTTGTATGAGCCAACACATAACTATGGTAAAAAAAATGCATAATAATAATAATAATAATAATAATAATAATAATAATAATAATAATAATAATAATAATAATAATAATCATAAAGACTTTAATTAGATAAGGTAACTCAATTAGTTACAGAACTAATCTACCTTGAGTCCTTCAATCTGTTATGAATAATATATACAGTATATACAACATGATGTGATGAATCTGGCTTGACATTAAATAATTAAGTGATTTTATAAGTCAAAGTATCAAGCCTGGAACACATGCACAGGCATCTCTGAATATATAACAAAACATATATAAAATATAAAATATCATTTAATGCAAAATTCAACTGTGAAAATGATGCAAAACTACAGAAAAGAAAGCAGTATTTATTGTGCTAAAGATTTCATTCATCTGAGACATTAATTATGAAAATAAGAAATGCTGGAAGCCTGCCTTATGTCACTTGGGAATGTTGGTCCATACCAGTGGACTAGTATATTGAAAAATTTTTTTAAACAACTCCTTCTTTGGCCATGGTATAATGTAATTTTTACTTTGCATGGACCTTAAATTTTGGAGTACAATCAGCATCTCTTTGGTGAAAGAAATTGCTTACATAGACAGGAATTGCTTTTCTGAATACTTTATACATCAATTTGGATACTTTATACATCTGGATACTTTATACATCAATTTGGCCTAAGAAACATTCTTTCATGTATTGTTAAAACCTTTATATTATTCATTGCATCCTGGAAATTGTCTATACATTGATCTAGAATTTAATAGCAAGCCCTCATTTGGAGTCTTAAAAGTGTTGTTATGTTTGAATTAGAGGTATTACCCCAAATTACATTGCAATAGTCCCGATAATGGCTGAATATAACTTTCAAAAAATATGACCCTATACTGAAGAGGAATGTATGTTTTGATTTTCCTCAGTAGCCAAAGATAAGAATTAACCTTTTTTGAAATATGTTTAATGTGAATAGACCAAGTAAGATTGTTATCTATGAATAAACCAATAATTTTATCCTGAGAGGTCATATTAAGACTCACATTGTCAAATATAACCTGGAGTTTGTGGCTATCTAGCCTTGCTCATTTTTGTTGCACTGTAAATAGTAAGGTTTTCACTTTTTCTGTATTTATGATTATACTGTTTTCCTTGCAACATACTTAAAGTCAGTTGAGAGCATCTTGTAAGTTATTTTCAAGTACCATTTTGGTTTTACCAATCTTAGACAGTGAAGAATTATCTGCATAGTGGTCATTGGAAGAAACTGATGTTCCAATCTTAAAAACGTAAGTCATTGATAAAAAGAATGAATAACAGAGGTCCAAGTATAGAGCCCTGTCATACTCCACAATTATTAGCTTTACTTTCAGAAAGTTGACCATTTAAAGATACTTTTGCACTCTGTCAGTTATGTAAGAAGTAAACCAGTTTAGGGAGTTTTCATTACCTTGATAGATTTTTACTTTTTTAAATAAAATTTCATAGTCTACAAGATTAAAAGCTTTTTGAAAATCAAACATACTAGTGCCTACCATTTTTCCTTGATCTAATGCTTTCAGCCATTTATCAATCAAAGATAAAATGCAGTTTCACAGGAGTGATTTGGTTGAAAGTCTGACTGATTATCATGAATACAATCATAATTGTTCAAATAGTTGCAAAAAGAATCATCTACATGTTTTTCTAGTAATCTGGAGAAACAAGGAAGGACAGAGATGGGTCTGTAATTATTTACATCATAATTTGCCCCTGCTTTATGAAATGGTGTAACCTTGGCAGTTTTCCATGTTTGTGGAAATTTATCTAGACCTAATACTTTCATTGCAAATGAAAGATATACTCTAAACAACTGCTGGTGCAGCTACCTTTAGTAGCCTTGGTCCAATCATATAAAGTCCTGTAGCTTCATAATCATCCATGTTTTAAATATATTTAACACTATGTTTTTTGGTAGTTTGTTAGTCAGATAATCAAATGAAATTCTGGGGAATTTTTTTAAAAAGTTTTTCTGTAGTTTGAATAAAAAAGTCATTAAAAATATTTGAGATGTCAGTTTGATTATTGGTATCAATGCCCACATGATTGAAGGGATAAAATTTCAGTTTTACTCTTACATTTGCATATACATATACACCTATTTGAAGGTGGTTTAGGCCTTCATTAGTTTAGTGTTAGTTAATTTTAAGACCATTTTGAATCCATGAGGCTAATAGTCCATTTTATTGCAAAAATCAAGGGTTTACTGCAAAATACAATATGTTCAACCAAGGTGCTATTGTGATTCTTTTATTTTCTCCTAAAATTCTTAACCTCCCACTAGATCTATCAATTTCAGTGAGTCATATCACTAACAACAAAACATTTTCATTATGTTTTACTTATGTTTTAAGGTTTTTACAAAAATGACAGCATTGAAATAAAACTTCAATGTTGAAAGATGCTACACATGAAAGCTAGAATAAAGCAGCTTGTTTATGTATGTACAATCGGGACATGTGAGCATGTACAATGAGGACATGTGAGTATGTACAATCGGGACATGTAAGTACATACATTCAGGACATTATGTAAAATCGGGACATGTGAGTATGTAAAATCGGGACATGTGAGCACACACTGCTGGACATTACAGCCAAGCACTGAAAACCAACTTTTTCTGGATCCAACAATATACTTTTCTATTATTTCATATAAAATAATATTATGTTTTACCAAAATTTCAAATGTGTATATTCCAATGAAATCACAGAAAAAGAATTTTTTGTTGGACACCCAAAAAATGTATCATAGTTTAGACTTCGTCCATTTCCAGAATTTAAACCATGGTCATCTTTATAAATTTTCTAACTTGTTCCTAATGGCAGTTGTTTTGTTTCCCCTTCATGCATAATAAAGTGTCCACAGATATCAAGCTGATAATTAAATTGGAGGGAGCATTCATTTATGAGTACAATGGGTATCAGATTCTGGAAGGAAACTACACTCTTGCCATTGAGTCATCTTTGCTACCCAAGATTCCAATATGATAACCCTATCTACAACTTAGTATATCGAGCAGATATTTTTGTACTTTAGATCTGTTAATTTCATTGGATGTGGCAGTAAGCCACTGCATCCAATCAAAAGTAAGTTGTTCAAATCTGAACACTGTTCCTAAATGACCTAGATAAGGGAAGCACAAAACTTTAATGGACTGATAAATAATTAAATTTCCACTGGTCCATATTTGTACAAATACATCTGTAATGACTTCCCTCTAGTATGTAGTCATACTTTTTGATGTTAAACTTACAAAGAATCTAATTAAAGTCAACTGCCTCCTCCATTTTTGGCTGATGTACAATGCACTGCTGTTACATACTATTGGTTAGTTGATATTACATACTAAGGGAGGTAACTCATTAAATTCAATAGATGTCACTAGGACAAAGCACTAAAATATCTGTTTGATATGCCAAGGTGCAGATAAGGTTATCATATTGGAACCTTGGCCAGCAAAGAATCCAGTGAGTAGAAACCTGCTTTCAAGGCCTACCTGACAAAGACAAATTCTGCCTGAAATATACATTTGCAAGAAAATTTTAATTTATTACTTCAGAAATACATTATTATCAGTTTTATCACTTATTTGTTTTATTTCAGCAAAACATTTAATATTAAGCAAGCTGTTTCAAATGTTGTGATTCTGATGTGTTTAAATCTGACAAAATTTTCATATAAATTGAAATTTGTAAAATGTGTGTGTGTGTGGGAGACTTAGATTTTTAATGTAGCTTTAAAAAATTTCAGTCATATCGCTATGATGTCTGCAGTGTGACAGTTTACAGTGATGTCTAGACCTGGTACATCATGCTGCAGACATGTGAATGATGTTCCACCCAGTTACATTATCCTGACACCAGGCTGACCAGTCCTAACCCTAACCTCTTAATGCTGAGCACCAAGCGATGTAGCTGTTAGTACCATTTTTGTAAGTCTTTGAAATTACTTGACTAGGGATCAAACCCACGACCTCCTGCATCCAAGGCAAATGCTCTAACCACTAGGCCACTGGAGCAGTCAGTAATATTCTATTAAATGTTCATGTTTGAAAATGGTAGAATATGATTTTGAAAATGTATAGCTTGGCTCAAAGCTCTGTAAGCACAGTGTATGATGGTATGATGTTTTCAAAGTGAAAAAAATGGTCACGACCTCTTCCTCCCATCATTAAAAGACTAGTGATGTTAACCCTATCTGACTGACATTGACTGAGAACTCATTAATCACTACAGTTGATTACTCAGTGGGAATGACCTATCTATAACTTATATTTGTCCAAGTTGAACACTAGACCTGCAAAAACAAGTCCTGCATATTTATGTTCCTCTTCATCTCTGTTATTGAGAGAGTCTATGGAATTGTGAACCCTAAATACATTGTTAATGTATAATTGAAGTTATTAGATAAGGCCAATCAATTATTTACCACATTCACTTGCACATAATGCAATACACATCTACAAACAGAATAACTGATCTAGGCCTAGCCCTTGAGTCCTGAAACAAATACTGAACTCCAACTCAAAATTCCAATATTAAATCTGTATGACAATGTTGTTGAAATCTGGCATGTATAAACAAATGTATCCATTCAGATAATTCTGACATTTTGAAGAGTATAGCACTCCATGTACTACATAGTAGTATAGCACTATGCAGTATATAGGAGTATAACACTCCATATAGTATATAGGAGTATAGCACTCCATATAATAAATTGGAGTATAGAACTCCATGTATAGGAGTATAGCACTCTATGTAATATATAGGAGTATAGTATTCCATGTAGTATATACGAGTACAGCACTCCATGTATATAAGAGTATAACATTCCATATAGTATATAGGAGTACAACACTCCATGTAGTATATAGTAGTATAGCACTCCATGTAGTATATAGGAGTATAGCACTTTATGTAATGTATAGGAGTATAGTACTCCATGATGTATATTTTATATACTCTCACTTACAAGACAAGTCCAACTTCAAAGTGCACAATTCCAGATCTTGTGTTGCATTATGTGTCAGCTGATCTGGTTCTGTGAAGTTTGTTAATAGTAATCAGTAGAAGAAACAAGACAGACTCTGATCTGATGGCACATTATACTAGGACAGATCAGGATCTGTCCTGTTCAAAGTTTGACTTGACTTTTAAGTGAGAATAGATAGACAATACAACTTTGTATGGTTTGGAGTACAAGTTACATTTTTGTGTTCAGACAGTTTCATGACTACAGGGTTTAAACATCATAAAACAGCGGCTGAAATTTGAGATCAAATTTCCACAATCAGCAAACTAAAATTAACTTCAAACTAATGTCATTCATAATTGGCTGAAGCAAAATTCCAACTCAAACTCAGGTACTGTCTGATTTCTGTGCCACTGCCACTAGCAAGCATGATGATTTGAGATTATGCCGTCCATTAGAAATCATTGTTAACAGCATCAACCCTAATCTCCCAGTGCATTATACAACATGGGTCAATGCTTCTTGCTTTGCACTGTCACTCATGTTTTATCCAGGTACCTACAACACAGCAAAGTTTAAATTTCTATGAGAAATAAAACCAAATAGCTTAAACACAAGAATGACAATTTATTACTGTTCATCAGATAAACAATAGCTGCTTATTCATCAACAGTAATTAACAAAATCAAGGTCATCATTTTCCTAATTAAATCAGTAATTCCTTCAAATAACTCCAATAACATTAACTTTTAATGAATAGTAATAATAAAATATATTGCTATCAAGCTTGAATAAAATAAATAAATTTTATCTGACACTTGATTCATTCAAGTCATCAAGAACACTAGATGAGATAAACATAAAGATAACTTCGCTTTAATGACCAGACTTGGGAGATTTGATTTGTAATCTACATGCTAACATGTAAAAGGTAAATTTCTGTCTTCTTAAAAATTCAGACACTCACAGATTAGTTGACTTATCTTAAATTCATTCAACCTCTTTCAGAGGTAAATACACAGGTAAATACACAAATTGTTTTTTGGTGGAACAATCTGAATCATTTTCAACTAAATCCTATACATTTTTTTGTTCTTGTGATAAAATCTTCATCAAGAACATAGAGCACACAAGTACATCCATAACATCACAGACAACTGATCAGGTGGAATGCAATTTGTAATCTTTCAACCTAATGCTGGTGCATGTTTTAAAATTTAATTGAAATGTTACATCTGGCTGTCTGACTTTTACAGTGACCTTGGCAACTTCTAATGCACATATGGGATTGAAACTTTGTAAGATGCAGTTTATATCCAGATATTTTGGGGTAAAATCAGTTCAGAATCTATCAATCTACTTGCTTGTCTAAATCAGTGGTCTCAAACTCAAACCACCCTGAGGGCCACATGAGGGAATTTTCAATGACTTAAGGACTGCACCACCTTCCTTATCTCTTATGACAACTTGTGATGCCACATGATATGGCTTTGCAGGATGCAAAGAGGCCTTCATTTCAAGACCTCTGTCCTAAATGAATGAAAAACTGCTGTGTTCACATACCAATCATATATATAAAACAATAATATATAAATACCAATAATATATAAAAACCAATAATATATATATATATATATATATATATATATATATATATATATATATATATATATATATATATAATAATTCCATTATTTACATCAATAGGAATGGTATGAATAGATATATATATCAAACAATACTTTCCAAGTCATCCCAGAGTTTTATTTTCTTTTCTGACAAATTGATTTTATAAATACTATCCATTCTTGCTTATAAGTCAGGTCCAAGAACAATTACATAGAACCAGATCTGCCATCACATAATGCACCAGCAGATCTGAGTCTGTGTAGTTTGTTAGGAGTAATCAGTAGAACAAACAAGTATATTCTAATCTTTGATGTTTGCAGACTTGACCTATATGTGAGTATATATGGTAGCATAACAAGGACAGAGCAAGTCCCTATTATTGATTATTTAACAAATGGTCTATTGCTTGTTTTAAGATGAGAGTATATTTTATTGCCTGAATCTCCATATCTAAAACTATTGTTGTCATGAACTGTCTTTAATTGCCATCATTATAAACAAGATTTATCCTTGGAAAAGCCACATACACTCCTTATAAGTTGAATCTGTGTGTGTGTGTGTGTGTGTGTGTGTGTGTGTGTGTGTGTGTGTGTGTGTGTGTGTGTGATTTGGATTCTTAACATAGCTTTAACAATTTTCCATCATGTCACTATGTTGTTTGCAATGTGGCAGTTTATAGTGATGTCTAGCACAGTGGCATCATGCAGCAGACATGAAGCATCATGTCCCACCCAGTTATCTGATTCTGACAGCCAGGCTGACAAGTCCTAACACTGACCTCTTAATGCAGAGCACCAAGCAAGACAGCTGCTAGTACCATTTGTTTAAGTCTTGGTATGACTTGGCCGAAGTTACAAGTCAAATCTAATTGCAAACTGCATAAATCCAGAACAAATATTGCATCAGCGAAGTTAGAACAAATAGAACAAACAACAGATCTAATTTGTTATGTGACATCAGATCAGGGTCTATGTTCTTTACAGATGGGCCCAAATTAAAAATGACTTCATACTGTCATTCAGAAGTCAGACTAGTTTTTAATGTTGACCTTTCTGCAGTGGGTTTGGCTCTTATATCCTGAGGTCTTTATGTTTCAAAACTATTTTCCATACTTTATGATAATCAAGTCATTGTGTGAAAATGTCCTATCCTTAGTTAAAAGCAAAATGCATCAGTTCTTTCTGATTTACCTAATATTCTAAAAATGCATTTGAAATTAACATAAATTCTTTTAAAACTAAAACCAATGAAAACTTTAAAATAATGAGCACTGGAAAGTGAGACTGTAAGAAGTTTTTTTGCATTATGTGTAATGTTGACACATCCACAAGGACCAATTCTGGTGTATGTTACATATCATGTTAAAGGTTCAAATATATAAACTTACTAGATTAAGGCAAGGCATGAGGAATGCACAATAATGACTGAGATAACCTTGTCCAGATAAAATGATATAACAGTGCAGTCTCTGATGTAACTAGTATACTGGGATTTGAGATGGCATTCTTTACAGTTAAAATGCAATCGACAACCAGAATGCCTTTATAGTGTTAACTTAGAAGGCCTGAACAATCACAAGGTTAATTCTGCATAACCTCTTGTCACCCTAATAGTTAATCAAGCAACAAGTACAACAATCCATGGATTGTCAGCTATATTTTCCTCATATTTCATAGAATTTATCACATGTCTTATGGTTCACACATACAGCTGTGGTGAAACTATATGTACAAAAAAATTTATCTCCCCATTTATTTTGTGGTCTGCATACATTTTTGTGGCATACAGAATTTCTGCTGGTATTTGCAATAGTCAAATCTTGGGAAATACTGGGTTGGCACTTGCAATAGTCAAATCTTCAGAAATACTGGACTGGTACATGCAATAGTCAAATCTTGGGAAATACTGGGCTGGTACATGCAATAGTCAAATCAATAGTCAAATCTTCAGAAATACTGGACTGGTACATGCAATAGTCAAATCTTCATAAATACTGGGCTGGTACATGCAATAGTCAAATCTTCATAAATACTGGGCTGGTACATGCAATAGTCAAATCTTCAGAAATAATGGGCTTGATCTGATGAATGACCTAAATGTTTTTGGTTTAAATGACTGAGCAAACAGACAAAAACTAGCAGCACAGGAAAATTTTGAAAGGACAGAAAGCAGTGCAAATTAAGACTACACACCTATTTTATCTTTTTCAAAGTATTTCAAAAGTTCTGTGCCACTTTTATACCAATTTGTCTTTTTTTCAGAACAATATCAGATATTTCTTTTTCTTTTCTCAACTTGTTTCTGTAATATGATAATCCTACCATCATTAGGTAATCTCTTCACAAAACATTTTTTAAATACGAGTCTGACTTGTACATCATCTTTTATCATTATACATTTTTTAAAAATGCATAT